ATATGAAAAAAAGGATGAATAGTAATATGAATTGCGAGGACTGTAACAATGTACTTTCATTAATATTCAATTAATTCAATTAAAATTGAATACTTAACATCTCATCAGTTTTATAAATATTATTATGAGCAATTATTTTACTTAATTAAATATATGTCCTTTTAAATTTTTTATAAGCATCCCGTCTTTAAAAAACATCACCAAATGCCATTTTTGTTAAAACTTTGCTTGCTCCATCCATGCATTTCTATTTAAACAAAGATTGATGGCGACCAAATTTAAGAAAAATTGCTGATAATAACTATGTTTAACAGTGTCTTTTAAAGTCTCTGACTTTTAAGGATTTTCAAAATGTACTTTTTATTCTAAAATGATGGCTTTTTAGCCTTCCTGCTATCTTATTAACATAATATACAATTTCACTTTGAATGAATCCTTTTATCAGCTTGTGCATCTTTTTTGTAAAGCCTCCCAGCAGTATATAATGCTTGTCGTATTTCAACCCTTTATGAATCTTGAAATGAGACACCTTTTCTTGAAAAATCTAGTGCAAATGTAGTGTCATCATTTGCATGAATATTGTGTGAAACAAAAATAATAGCAAATTTTAAAGGTTTTGTAATGATTATTTCCCTATCATTAAAAAAAACACAAACCCATTATATCAGCTTTGGTAGAAGTGGTACACGCACACTTTAGCTCTATTCATATTCAGATGTCAATTTATTCACCACAGATTACTCTTTTTATGAGGACTAGTAAAATGTCATGAAATAATGGCAAATTTTCTGAATTCTGTCAGGCTGAAGTTCAGTTCAACTACAGGCTAAATGTATATATAGAATCATGGTTTCAGGAGAGAAGAACTGAAGGACAGAAGTGAGAAGCAAACTGAAGCGGTTTCGATTTTTAGATTTTGAAACTCAAATACTATACTTGCTGATTTGATGTAGTTGATCCATGCTTCATTGATAACAAGCCATTCAAAGAAATTATTTAAATCTTGGAGAAACCTAAAGTAGGAAAGGATCCTCCTGGTAGCAGAAAATTCGCTATAAATAAGGAATAGTGTGTACTAATGCACAGGTATGCAGCTAGTCAATTGTTCAGAAATTGTGTGTGTGTGTTACCTAATGGTTTTGTTTCTCAGAGGCATTCCATTTACATTTCATCAAAGTAACCAATTAAAGTTCAGCACAATTGTAGTAATTAAGCAGATAAATAATTGCTTAAGTCTTTTTTTGTAAAGAATATATATTGCAGAACTTGCAGACAGTAGCAATTGATGTGCAATCACTTCGTGGGTTACTTTGAGTTATTCTCTAGACTCAAGGGAATCAATATCAATATAGATGAAGCCAAGTGAATCTCATTATTGTCCTCTTTTGTAAGATCCCAAAACCAAATAAACCTTGCATTATGACAGCAACAAATTGACTATTGTTATACTGGCTTTTGCATTGGAAGGACAAATCTATGGCCTTATAACCATGATAGCCAACCCAACTTAATCTAACTGTTAGGTATACCATTCCTTGGACAAAGTTGGGTACTTGAACTGTCAGAAGTGCAGTTTGTCCAGAGTTTAAAGTAGAACTCAGTCTTAAAATGCCTGCAATATTAATGTTTTTAAGGATTGGATAAGAATAAAAAAATTCAACTCATGTAAAGTAATCCTCTGAATACACAGGAATGACTGATTGCATAGAAAAGCCTTGGTTGGTGGATGAATGACGTGGTTCTTTGGACCTTCTTTCTTTTTCTAATATAGCTACTAAGCCTAAGAGACCCTTACTGCGGAAGAAGGAAACTGAGGCAAGTAACTTGATTCACACCTTAAAAAGCAATCTGTCAGGCTTACATTTGTCTGTAAAATCGACAATATATTGTTCAGAAGGCAAACTAGACAATTAGATGTAACATCATTAGCACAGATTAGATACAATTTCATTAGTGCAAAGGTAGGTGTTAAAGCCATTTTAAATTAAAAAGGCAACAAAAGGCCCAGAGCTTTCTTAAATTAACAAAGGATAGACAAAACCACAAATGAAGATTTTTTTTTAAAAAAAATAGGAAAATAATAAAAGCAAATACATTCTTAGATTATTATCCATAGCTGAACATTCTTCAAAGAATTGACAAGAAATCATAATTTAAAAAAAATAAAATCTACAATCAATCATTTTAAAAAGGGAAAGTCTAAAATAAATAGAAATGGGATCTATTTCTATTTTCAGATAACTAAAAAAAAAAAAATAAGAATCAAACTGACCTTCCCAGCTTTTACAAATGCTTTTTGCTTTGGTTGTTATTGGCTTTTAAAAGCAATCACATTTATGGCTCTGTGCATGTGCTGAAGAATACTTGACTGACAAACTTAATTGGATTAGAACAAAATCTGTATATACCACTCATTTTCTTTTCTAGATGGTGTGGCTGAATATCACCAGAAGATGGGAAGGCAGAATAGCTTTATTTACAATATATGTGGTGTTTGGAGGTTACTTGTGCTCCTGACCAATTGTCCTTCCAAATATTGCACTAGAAATAATCACTCTTGGTGACTTTAGGTATAGGTGCAAATTCATTAATGTGTAATTGTAGGTTGGCTTTTAATTAGTTGGACAGTCCTTGTTTTTGATGTGCTGCAATGTGTAAAGTAGGTGGCAGCAGCAGAAACTTTAAAACTTATTGGATGATTTGAGCTTGGGAAGAAACAAACAGTACCATGGATCTATGGGGACTGTCATATGGGGAAGATCCCCCAAGAAATTGATCATTTTTTCTATTTGACTCTATTTCCTTTTTAAAGATCTCCCCCAAAGAAGTCTTATAAAATATTGATTATTGAATTTGTATGCTGTCCAACTTCCAATGATTCTGCCTTTTACGATGAAGTTAGAAAGCTTTTCTTCATTACCAAGCAGAATAACAGAGCTGTGAGGGACCTTGGAGATCTTCTAGTCCAATCCTCTACTCAAGCAGGAGACCTTTGGCTGGCTCAGGAATTCTGGGAGTTGAAGTCCACAAGTCATAAAAGAGCCAAGGTTGCCTACCCCTACCCTATACCATTTCAGACAAGCGGTTGTCCAATCTCTTCTTAAAAACTTCCATTGTTGAGCATTCACAACTCCTGAAGCTGTTCCACTGATTAATTGTTCTGTCAGGAAACTTCTCCTTATTTCTAGGTTGATCCTTTCTCTGGTTAGTTTCCATCTACTGCTTCTTGTAAGGATGATGTGATCAATTACTACTTTAAAATGCTCCTGATGAATTGCCTTACAAATGAGTCTTCCCTTGAAAATGTAGACATTCTAACTATTGTACTTGGGAAGTCATAGTACTACTACTGAGGACCTGGTTTTTAAATATAATTGAAGAAAGAAAATAAAAAGATAAAGTACTTTTATCTATTTCATCAGAAGTCCAAAAGACACAGAACTTAACACATTTTTTAAAAAATATGCTAAGAACATTGGAATAGATTAGCAGTCATACAATCCCACATACAGAGGAATATTTTTACTGATAATTTCCATACATAGATTAATAGATGGATACATGCACACATAAATTTACTTAATTCACATGCCACTCACAACTGAAGAGTATACCCTAATTTTGGGGAAGAATAGATGACAAGAATAAAAATTTCAAATAAAAATACATCAAAGAAAGTCTATATTTTCTAGTTATTATTTATTGTGTAGAATCTTGGGGCTGAATTCATGTTTAGACTTTCATGCTATATCCCATATTATTGTACAAATTAAATAATGCTGTTGGGCAGCAGGCAAGAATTATGAAATGAATTGTACTGACTTATTTTAGTCTTTGACATTGATACTGATATAGTCTTTGATATATCAAAGACATAGGTTTTTTTTCTAGTACTTAACAAATAGTTGCAAAATGACAGTAATGTGTAGAGTGCTAATGGATACAGATTGTCTTGTGCTGGCTATTGAGAACACAAAATGAAACTTTGGTGACATTTTTAAGAGAGAAAACAAATCCAAGGGCACTGTGTTCTGAGGGGAGAAGGACATTCACTACAAAGAACTAAATAACTTAATAAAAATAAACAAGATAAAGTTTGCTTCAGGAAAACATGGGTGCAAAAGATGAAGGTATTTTTTTAAAAAAATTATGTTCACATTTCTTGTTTGTTCATTCAATAAATAACTGAATGAAGCTGCTTTAAGAGAATCTTCTAAGAATGCATTTACTTTTAATGAAAGGATTCTTAGATTTACAAGTTGATATGTCACAATACAGAGCATGGATTGAAAGGAAAATGCAGTATACAATTGATCCTATAAAAGCAGATTAATAGAATAGCAATAACAAGGTATCAGAACAGCAAACTTTTTTTCTACCTGTGTTGTTGTGAGATCAACCACAGAGAGAGTTTTGTTTTATTGGGTTTTGTTGTTTTGACATTGCAACCAAGCAGAAATGAAAAAGATGATACCATTATGCGGCAAAACTTTATGTGTTTTGTTTCTGTATGCTAAAATGATATATTTCAACTTGTCAGCAAAAATAAAACCCTTAGTTTTGAGCTAACAACTGACCTTTGGTCGCATTTTCTGAACTGGGGCTATTTTCTTGTCTCATTGGTGAAAAGCGAGAGTTACAAATCTGAATTTTAAAAAAACCAGGATGCTTTCATGCTTCTTAGCTTGCCTTGTTCTGTCTCGTCTCTCTCTACCCAACCTACCTTACTGGGTTACTCAGCATATGATGGGAAGGAAAGCTTACATGCAGCTCTGGGCTTCTTGAAAAGAAACACATATTGGAAATAACAAAAATCCAGACGGAGTTACATTGTCCTGAGTATAATTTACTATATGCCTGGCTAGGTTGAGGTGGCCTTGGCCAAAATGAAGAGGAAAGGAAAAGAACATCATAAAAGGAACATGATAGATCCTTTCCCATCAATCCCACCGGATTCTTGCATGGGCTGATTCCAGGCAGAGGAAAGGGCAGCGTTTCCTTCGAGAGACGGGGAGGGGAGAGATAGTAGAGACCCGGGTTTTACTCACTGAACGTGGGTGCAGGAAACGTGGGAAGCCGACCTGGCCCCTGATTTGACTGCTAGAGTTCACCCTACGTCAAGCAAGCTGAGGGAGGAGCGTGATATTGGGAGAAATGAGGAGAAAAAGCAGCGAGGGCGCCAGCCAACACACGCCGGCTGCTACTGGACAGTCGCTGCCTCAGTACCCGGCTAAGCTCCGCGTTCAGCTGCTGGGGCCAGGAAGGCTGGGAAAGGGAGGCAGCCAAAACGGTCGGGCTTTGTGAACCTCAGGAGTTTGACCCGGGTGGCGTCCAAGGGCTGGCAGTGGGTCCCAGAAAAAACAGAAGTCTTTCCACGCTCAACTGTGGGAAGTTCCCCACTGCTAAGGAGCAGAAGGGCAGGGACGGACTGAAACGAAGGACAACGCGGTCGTGGGAAAGCAACAGCTTTGGGCGCGCGTGGAGCTTCTTTGACAAGCAAGAAGCAGCGCCGGCTCGTGTCTCCCCTTCTCTCCTCTGAGCTGCTAGTAGGCGCGGGGGGACCAGGAGCGGGGGCGAGGAGAGGAAAGAGGGCTCAGCCTCTGGATTCTCCCCGCTGAGTTTAGCAAGGGAGAGCGGAGAGGTTCGCCGGGGCATCTTTCCGAGAGGATTTCCGTGGGAGCCACGCGGGACCCGTCACCTTCCGAGTTTGCTTTCCCAGACGGCGTAGAGCATGGCAGCAGAAGCCCCTGCCGCTTTCAGCGACAGGAATCAGAGCTGGGGCTCGCCCCCCTGGTTGGACTTCAATGCCTCCAGGTCCTCCCTCCCTCAGTCCTCAGAGAAGGAGAAAGCCGGCTTCCTCTCTGAAATTGGCGTCGAGAATTTTATCACCTTGATTGCCTTCGGCCTCATTTTCACCCTGGGAGTGATGGGCAATTCTTTGGTCATCACGGTGCTGGCCAGGAGCAAGCCGGGCAAAACCCGCAGCACCACCAACATTTTTGTGCTCAACTTGAGCATCGCTGACTTGACTTACTTACTCTTCTGCATTCCTTTCCAGTCTACCGTGTACATGTTGCCCAACTGGTCTCTGGGCACCTTCATCTGCAAGTTCATCCACTACTTCTTCACTGTCTCCATGCTGGTCAGCATATTTACCTTGTCAGCTATGTCTGTGGACCGCTATGTGGCCATTGTGCATTCCCGGCGCTCCTCATCTGTGCGGGTGTCCCGTAATGCGCTGTTGGGGGTAGGGATCATCTGGCTTCTCTCTATTGCCATGGCTTCCCCCGTGGCTCACCATCAGCACATTGTCCACGAAAAATTCCTCAACCAGACCTTTTGTTGGGAAGTGTGGCCCAATCTCGAGCACAAGAAAGTGTATGTCTTGTGTACCTTCATCTTTGGCTATTTGCTACCTCTGCTGCTCATCTCCTTTTGCTATGCTAAGGTAAGTGAGGCTGATAAGGACAGAGGTTCTGCCCAACAAGTGCATGAGATAGCCTCTCTCAGGATCAGTGCAGCAAAAATAGACAGTAGTTTATCCAGTGTCTATATCCAGTGGTAATATGGAAATATGCAACTTGTATCTTACCTCTAATGGTGCTTCTTGCTATTTCTTTCCTGTGATGTACGTAAAATGCTAAAAGCAAACAACAAACACTTGTGTGAATAGTTTGAGAGAGGATTGTTCAAGGTGCTGTTCAGAGTTTGAACAGCACTATTTAGTGCTTTTCAATTCCAGCACATAATCTTATGCAGGATACAAATATAACTATATATTGAACAAACATGACAAGGGTTAAAGTTCCATTTGTGGACATTCTGTTGAGCACATAAATAGTTCAGATGTATAGATGCTTAAGGAAGTTATAGATGAAGTATTTTTGAGGATATTTTGGAGCAGCAGATTTCAAGTTGTGTAGCACTCTGATCCCTCAAATGATAAATGAATTTATGTCAGATTCTCCCTTAAAAATTAAAACTAATGGATTTGTTAGAATTAGGTTTGAAAAAGAAATAAATGTAACACTTAATAATTAAATGTTAATTTTTGCATCAGAGAGGTCATTTAACTTTGTAGTATCATAGCTGCCCATCAAAGGAAGAAGCTTAGCCAGAGCACATTTTGCATTGCTTGTTTGTTTGTTTGATCGCCTCCCTTTAAGTTGGTCATGAACCTCTGTTTTTTCTGAATCACCTACTAGGAGCTGACAAAAAGTAGAAATTTCTTGAAATATATCCCAGAATTGCCATGGCTAAATGAATGAAATATTGACTGAGGCTTGAATTAACTACCGACATTACTATCAAGGGAAATTTTCTGTTATGTTGGTAAAGTATGAATTGTGACACCAAGAAAGCCAGCTGGTCTATCTTATCCTAATGCTGCATCATGACTATCATTTAAAAATCTGCTAATTGATTTTAGTGTTCAGGATAGGAGACAGTCCACTGATAAACTCATTTGTATATCTGGCTGAAAGAGAGAGAATTAACAGAAATCCTGATAACTTAAGGGACCTAATCACTGTATTCTGATTGATGATTCACTTTCTCTGAATTTTGAATCTGGTTCTGCTGAATATGGAACAATTCACATAGTTCTTTCTCTAGAAGTTAGTACTTGTTGCTGGCATGCAAATAAATTAACACCTACCTGAAATCAGCACAGCTCGTAATATTGATAATTTATCTTTGAAGCGCTTGCTTCGGCAGCATATACACTAAAATTGGAATGATACAGGGAAGATAATTTATCTTTGAGCAAAGTTTCTTTCAACTGCATAATGAAAAATCAGCTAATTTCAGAATAATTGTAAGAAGTTTCACTTGGGATCTCTGTAATTCCAAGTTTTCCAATGAAACAGAAAAGTTGAACACCACACACCTGTTCTGATTTATTATCTGCATGAAACAGGAAATCTTGATAGCTGGAAAGTTTTTAAAAAAATAAAATAGGAGAAATATTCCATTTTAAACACCAGAAATATCAGAACAATCTTTTTGGGGGGGGAGGGGAGAGAAGGGAAGGGAATATGCCCATGCACATCTTTTTAATGGAGAATGAAGCAATAGGACTCTTCTGCTGATCTATCTACATTCTTATACAGCAGTAAGGAAGCAGTAAGTAACATTTAACATAGAAGTCTCAAAGCTTTCCTTATGTAGCTGCCTGCCTTGTGAGTGGATAGTAGAAAGTCTGGCTAATGGTATCATGCTGGGATCTTGCCTGGATTCTCTTCAAGATACATGTATGGGGAATGCTTGAATGGAACAAAATCCTGTTATATATCCTGCTTCTGGAGACATATCTCTATTTAAGTAATGGCCAGTGAGGTGAAACCGTTGGTACTCAGTATGTAACAGCTGAGTGGAAATTCCATACACATACCTTTACGTATTGGGTTCTTGATATTCTCTAAGCTTGGCTGGAAAATAACCAAGCTTTGAAAACACCAAGAACTCAACGGTTCCAACGCAGAGTTACATATATTTTTTAGTATTGGATACCTTTACATGCTAGAATTAAAGGATTATCTGATTAGCAAAGCAAAAGCCCATACCTGCTGATTCAATTTGTAACCAGTACAGCCTCTTGACAGTATTTGGCTACAATTTCCAACTTTACTATATTTATAAATGCTAAGGATATCAATGATAAGAGAAAATGATTTGAATGTTAGATATTTCCCTTTAAGATCTTCTATTAAAACCAATTCCCAGCTTTCTTCTCAGCAAATGAGAAGTCTTGTGAAAGATCAACACAACAGCTATCTATTTTTAGATAACACTAATACTACTTGCAATATCATTGAATATAGTGCTCCAACAATACTGCTTGTTTCCCTATTCTCCTTTTACTTACTAGCACAAGATATCCTTGAATTCCATAGTTCCAATTACGCAATTCTACAATTATGCACATGTTGTTTGGCCACAAAAGTTTTGCTTCGGTATCAATGATTTGATGTTGTTATTTGTGAAGTAATTGAAGGTGTGTGTGTGTGTGTGTCGGGGAAACATCCATGCTGACTTCTGTTTTCTCCATCTTAACATCTGGAATTGTTACTAATTTTTGAAAAGGTCATTAAAATAACATCATTTTTAAAAAATCTGGGAAAAGAACCAGATATAAATGCGCGTAAAAGATTTTTTTATTTTTGCTATTCCCCAGAAGCAAAAGGAACTATATACTTAGTAATTATTGGTTCTATTCCTCTCAACCCATGAAATATCTCATAAGAAATTACTTCATATATTTATGTCTTATCTTTTTATAGATAAATGTGGGATATTTTTAACTTTTATCTTCTAACTTTAAGCATAAAATGGATGCTGGTGAGGAATGGAAATGTAGTAACAGAATTTCTCCATTTACCCTTAATTACTTCTAAAGATGATGACTTGTGATTTTGTTTTGTTGCCATACCTAAGTGTTTTCTTCCAGTCCATCACAGACAGTGTCATTAGAAGAGAGAACTGAATGTCAGCCTCTTCTGTTGAAACTTATATCGTAATTATTGCACTTGAGTGGCCAGTAAGGTATCAAAAGATGAACAGATAGGATCAAGGTACGGGACATAACTATATTTAAATTTTATTAGTGTAATAGTAGATTTATCATGAAAAGTAATGAGAGTAGAAATGCATAGAACAACATTAAATGATTAACAAGCCGTAAATGAATAAGCTTAGCTATTGAGGAAAAAAAGAAAGGAAAAAAGGAGGAGATGACCTGGAAATTGTTATTAACAGAACTTCAGTCACCAATCACATTGTTTGAAAGTCATTCATTTCTCCCTTAAAAAAAAAAAGAAAGAAATTCAGATCTTAACATCAATACATATCATCACCTATGCTGCCAATTAGGTACAAAGCTATATTTTCAGATTTCTATAATAATTGTTTTACGCAATCCTCGGCATGAAAATTTGCAATTGTAGATTATGTTGATAAATTTTATATACTTTGGTTATAGCCAAGAAGATAAGCAGTCTTAATGCAAAGCAGTTGATCCAGAATCAAAAACCAATAATCCAACTAATCTCAGCCCTCAGTGCAACAATAGTAGGAAATGACCAAATCACATAGGTTACTATTCCAATTTCAGAATAACATTTCTAACAGCAGAGTGATTACCACCAACCCTATTAAATAACCTCTGAAGTTAGGATATATGAAAGAAACTGTATTAAGCTCATTTTGAAGTCATAGGAAACTACGTAATTTCATGTTGTGCATTGATTTTCTACTTCTCTTGATAAGCTTGTTATAAAATGAATAGCTAATATTAATTTCTTCAGTTTCCCCAGAAAGAATGGCTTAAGAAGTAAACATAATTCCTCCAGAATATCTCTCTACTATGGAGGTAGAGTAACATTTGTGTCTAAACCAAGTAAAATAAACATGTGCTTAAACTGAATATGTAGCCCAGAGCTAAATCAAACTCATTTGTCCATTTGACAAAAGTTTTAAATCCAATTTCTGCAGCACTAAGTTGACCCAAAGAAATTACATTATGAGAGGAATTGGTTATTCACTGCCTTCCCAAACCTGACGTAATCACTACTTTTAAACTGGGATTATAATATATGCTTATCTTGGGTTTTTTCATATATAGAGGCATTGAAGCTAATTCCACAGAAATTAGTTATAATTGTAGTAAAAGTGGTTTACCTGCATGAGATAGAGGTAAACAATATTTATATAGAACAGAACAGAATAGAATTTGGCCAAGTGTTATTGGACACAAGGAATTTGTCTTTAGTGCATAAACTCTCAGTGTACATATAAGCAACAAAGTGATAAATCATAAGATGCAATCATAATTCATAAGATACAACCAACAAAGTGATATAGGAGTAGTAAAATAAAAAAATGATAATAGTAATAGAGCTATTTTTGAATATACTATTCAAAAATAAAAAAGCTAAGAAGGTAACAAAAAGATTAGAACACTCTATCATCCAACGCTCAACTAAGCAAGGATTAATACCAGGCAAATTATCAGAAAACAATACTCTAATCTCTAATTACCTCTGCCAACACTGGCAGGCCAAGCTACTGTCTAAAAATGAGGAGCAAGCTCCATACTCACTAGCATTGATGATGTTACCTATCTGGGAAATGAAATGTCTGCAAGCAAATAACAAAACTCAGAAAGCACCAACATTGAGGTATATATATATTCTCTTTGAAGTGATAATGTGACTGAAAGAAGTTGTGGTAGGCTTACATGTTACTACCATCTTCCCACTAGGCCCTGTGCAGGTTATTTAACCTTGAAGGAAGTAAAACATCATTTTCTACTAATATTTAGTGATATATTAGTGGAATTATCTATCTTTTGGCTTACACAGAATCCACTGTCTCAAAATGAGATATGATATAACTGAGAGCACCTCATAATTTTAAATTCTTTTCAATCACACTAATAAATATAATACA